ACGTGTATCAACGTCGGTCTTCTTGCTCGTTGGATTACGGGTTTTGCCGACCTATCAACATTCAGTTTATGGCAAGTGACCTCGGAGTCAATGCCAGGCATCTCGTAAGGCGTCCAAACAAACACCTCAATATTTTCTCTCAAAAAAGCTTCCAACTCTTTTTCCTCTTCTTCAGCTAAGCCCGAGCAGAGAAGAAAAAGGCGTTCTTCATCCCCCTCCTGGATGAGGACTTTCTTCAGTGCTTCTTCACTCTTCTCGGCTGGCTCCTTGCCGACATCCTCTAAGACCTCCACGTCTTCATCTTGGATCTCTGCCTTCTCTGGTTCTCTTATGCTGCAGGTGGATTTCATTGCTGCCATGGAACAATTCTTTGCCTGTAGCTGATCTCCTCTGACCTCCTCAATCCCATGCTCTGTTGGGAACTGCAATAGCTAATGCAATGTTGAGGGAACAACCCCCATCGCATGCAACCACAGCCTTCCCAAGATGATATTGTAAGGGGAGGGTGTGTCGATTACGGTGAACTCTGTCTTTATCTTCTTGGTGCCAGCCTACACCTCCAAGCCCATCGTTCTTAGTGGCCATGTCGGCGTTCCATTGAACCCAACCATTGGGCTATTAGATTGCTCCATATCGTCTGGGCGAAGGCCAAGCTCCTTGTAATATCTGACATACATGATGTCACAAGAGCTGCCTTGGTCGATTAAGATGCGCTTCACTTGGCATTCCCCAACCTAGAGGGATACTACCAAGGCATCGTTATGTGGATGCTGCACCATCTCAAGGTCGGCTTCAGTAAAGGACACTACTGGTCCTTGGCACTCTTCTGCCCGATGTCTCTTCTCCCCGACTTGGTAGACATGCTATAGGTGTTTTACCTTCTGGGTCTTCCCCCGAATCTCGTTTTCGTTGACCTTCGAGTGAATTACATTAATTACCCGAGGTCCTCCTGCTTGAGGTTGTTGTGCTGGGGGAGGTGGAGCTGCTGTCGCCTGAGGCAATCTTGCATGTTCTTCCCTTGTCCTGGCATCATCGACAAGGTCTCTCAGATGGCCTTGCCTCACCAGGTCTTCCAAGTGTGTTTTCAGGGCTCTATAACCCTGAGTCATGTGTCCATCTTCATTGTGATAAGCACAATGTCTGCCAAGGTTTCTTCTCATAAACTCTCCTGGTGCCCTTGCTGGTGCTCTGAAATAGGGTTGGTTCCGAATTTTGTCCAGGACTTTATGGATTGGGATTCGGAACACAATTGTAACTGCCTATGTAGCCCTCTGTCCTATCTCTTGCTTGCTGGATCCGTTGTTACCTCGGCCTCGTTTCGGCGAGCCATTTCCTTTTTCTTGCTTTGTCTCCTTAGTCCCCGATGTATCTTCCTTAGCTCTAGCATACTTCTCGATTCTAGCCATGAGCTCTTCCATGCTTTTTGGCAATGTCTTTACCAAATATTTTCATAATGGACAGTCGTCTTTTAGGCCGTTCTTGATTGCACTCTAGTATTCGGTTGAACACCTCATAGTACCTTTTTGCATAGGCCCTAAAGCCTTCATCCTTACTGATCTTCAGGGCCATCAATGCATCCACCCTTAATGGCTGCAGCTTGTTTGTCACGAACCTGGCCGCGAACATCTCGGCCAGGCCTTCCCAGGTCTTCACGCTTTCCTTCAGTAGTTTATGAAACCAATCTGATGCAATCTCTCCGAAGGATGAAGGGAACACTTTGCAAAGCAACGGCTCGTTCCCGCTATACAATGCCATTGAGTTCAAGTATAATCCAATGTGGAAGTTGGGGTCTGACTTACCATCGTATATTTGGAACCTCGGCATACTGAATCTCTTCGGCGCCTCAAATTTGTCCAATTCTACCGAGAATGGTGTTCTCGGCTTAACATGTGAAGTTACTTCAGCATCGGCATTATGTTGTTTCCTCTTGAGGTAATCTCTCAGGTCTTCCTTGCTCCGCCCAGGAGCTCGGCTATCTCCCGACTTCAGTCTTTTCGGCATACTACTCTCAGCTTCGTTGTGGGCCCTTTTCGACCTTTCTGCATGAGTTGTATCGAAGCACAGCTCCTGCTCTGAACATGCCGATGTTCTTTGGGGTCTACTTTTTTAGTTCGATGCATCCATCGTGACTCTTCTTTCCTTAACTCTCCTCGCCCGACCTCCCTAGAAGGCCGGTGAGAGTGTTTTTCGCTTCTGGTGTGCTGAGGGGCTATTGGGATTGACTTCTGCCCTCCCTTCTGGGCATTGGCCGCTGGAATCGGCGTGTCCTACAGCGGGTATGATGGCTGCATGACATTACTTTGCATCATAAAATTGACGACCGATTGCAGGTCTGCCAAATTATTTGCCATCTCTTTCACCTCTTCGTCCCTCCACAGGCACCCTTCCATACCTGGAGGTCGTCCTCATTGTAGTATCCGCTTCGATCTGGTTTCTTTGGTACGTCGCCATCCTGGCCGACATCTTTCTTGCCGTGATTCTGGTTCTGAGTCTCCTCATTGTGACCATCTTCTTCTACGTTTGGGTCAACGTGTTTTCCACTCCCAGCAGGGATTTCGTCCCCAACCTTATCCTTCTGTCCGTCACTGGCCATCTATTCTCCTTTCTTTCCCACAGACGACGCCAAATTGTGTGTGTCAATTTTCGATCACACTGCCAACTCAGTATTCAGCTGGAGAGCACTAGCAGAATAGATAGCACATGTCTAACTTGAAACAGAAAGAGAAGATTCCGGCGGTGGTTCGTCCACCCGGGGGCACTCCGACGATCAAGTCAGTATATTTCTCAAAAATAATCAATAGTGCTAAACTTACTGTTCAGAATATAAATTGCGTACCTTAGACCCATCGGGGGTGTCTTTCTTTTATAGTTACCTCAATCCTAGTCCCCATAGAAGCCTAGCTTCAATGGACTTCTGCTCAGTGCTTATCCTGGACTCTCCAATAGATAAAGATAGACTCCCTAAGAGTGTTATCCTTATCCATGCTAAAGTCATTCCTTATTCTAGGACTCTTGTACCTTATCCGCTTATCTCGAATTCCGATATCTTCGGAGATAACCTCAGCCTTGCCGAGATCACCTCAGCATCATGTCCAGGACACGTGGCACCTCGGCTGACACGTGGACATCACATTGGCCACATGTTGGTACTCTAAAAATGTATCCCCACAAATACTAATTTATCATTAATGAAATTTAAAATGTAAAAGATGAAAGATAAATGGCTGAACTGAATATTAAATGTAATATTTTAATGAATTAATTCTTATTAATTTTTTTTAGATAGGGTTTAATTCTTATTAGATTGAAAAAAAATAAAGGATAGGTAAAGCAAATCCGTATAAGGGTAAAATTTAGGAACAAAATGGGGCGGGAGAAAATTGACATCTCTATTCAAAAAAGAAAAAATGTTTAACAAGTATGTTTTTCGGAATAAAATTTTAACTAGGTTGGTCATTTACTAATTTTTAATATTTATGAACTTATATTTTATTTTTGTAATCTTTTCATGGACTAATTAAGTTTAAATTAAATATTTTAGGGACTGAATAAATTTAATCAATAATTCAAGGACTAAAATAAATTTTAATTTATATATTTTAGAAACTTAGTAGATTCATCAATAGTTTAAGAATTAAAGTAAATAATTTGACAATAGTTTAAAAATAGAAACTGAAATAAATCCTTAAAACAATGTGGTATCCATTGTTTTTCAATTAATGGCATTAATTTTACATATTGATGACATTAATTTCACATTGGAAAGTTCTATTTGGTCGGCAACTTAATGCATTTTGGCATTTGCCAAAAATAAAAACATAATTCCTCAAGAAAAATAAATAAATAAATAAAAATAAGCAGTAGTCAGGTATGAAGTTTTGGTGTTTGTGCTAATTTTACATTGGAAAGTTCTATTTTTTCAGCAACATAATGCAATTTGGCATTTGCCAAAAATAGAAAAGTTATACCCAAAATACGTACTAGGCAAGTGTGATGTTTTGGTGTTGCATGTTTAAATTAATAATAAAACTATTGGTCATATCAGTTTAAGAAGAATGATTATATATATATATATTAGACAACATTATTAATGTAGATAGATGTTAGAATTAGGACCAAATTAATAATTTTAAAAATTAAAATGACAAAATTAAAAATTAATGGACTAAAATAATAAGGAACACATACTCTAAGAACTAAAACTATCCCTTTCTTCCCAACCAACCAAGCCCTTTTTTGACCGTTACGTTAAGCAAGCCTCTTTGCTGTGTCTGGAAGCCAATCCACCTCAATACAATATTACAATAATATGGAGTACGGTAAAACTTGCCACATCACATGCAAATTAAGAGAGAGAACAACACACAAGACATATACAACACCACCCCCATCAATTATCCGCATAGAGCCTTGCTAGAAGACATCAAATTTCTTATGCTGAGATATAATTGTGCTGTTTCTCACATTCTTCGGAAAGGGAACAAGTGTGCTGATGGTCTTGCAAACATGGAAGTGAATCATGTAGAGAACTTGGTAGTTTTAGATAACCCCCCAATTGAAATTGCAAATCTGCTGATTGCAGACATTGATGGGGCTTCTTGTGAAAGGGCTTAGCTTGTTTTAGCCTTCTTTTGGTTTTGTTTTGCCTCTGTTATGTTGCTTGTTCTACTTTCATTTTAATCAAAAATATATATATATATATATATACACCAGACACACAAACAAGGTTACAAGGTTTCCTAAAAAAATGAAAAAGAAAAAGAAAAAAAGAGAGATAAAAAAGAAGCAGCAGAACATTCAGAACTTTCTTCCTTAACATTTTCCACAGAGCAGCAGGAACTGTAACTACCCAACCGGAAGCCAACCTCCCTGTTTGGGACTAACGATACAATCACCAATCTAAAGTAGGTCATGAGGGAGCTCTGTACTTATATATCTCATTTAGACCAAGGTTATCAACACTAGAGACAAGCCACTTCACTAGTGGTAACTAGTAACAATGCAACAAGTTTCACAGAATTTCAGATATGATATAAAAACATCCAACTCCAACTTACTCAAATACTCATATTTGATATTGAAGCATTATAGATCAATCAATCCTGAGTTTGAGGATTGATCTATTAATTCAGGCCTCTTCTCTTAAACAGAAGCATATATGACGAAGAAACTAAGCCGGAGATACTGTCTAAAGTGTATTTTTATATACAATTTAATGTTGGATTCTCCCATCACTTAGAGAATACAACACTTCAGCACCAGTCCCTTTTGATCCATCCTTGCCTCTTCGTTGCCTGAAATACACAGCATTTTGCACAAGTGACTCCATCTTCCCAAAGAACATACCAAAGAAGAAAGGAAAAATAAATAAATAAATAAGAGCATCCAGTTATACACATGATGCAGAGAACCAGAGGAATGATCCACCATTAAGGCAATCAGAAATTTGTTATGCCGAATTTAATATTAAAAGTTGAAAAACTAATATATACAAAGATACAGCTTAAGATTTTTTGATCAGCAAAGATATAGCTTAACATTACCATTGGTAAGGCTTACCCTAACCATTTGGCAAAAATAGCCTACTGTTGCATGGCTAACAAAATCAATTTCAGCTTCGCGGGAATGAATGGAATGGAACGATCATTTCATTAAAATATGCATTTCATGTTTGGTTGACTTAAAAATAATGAAAAAACACATTATAAATGCAATCATCATTCACCATTGTAAAGGAATGATCATTCCATAAGGGACCCTAAGGAATGACCATTTCATTCCAGTAACCAAATAGAGCATCAAGATTTGTTCTCCTTTTAATTGTTAGCTCATGAATCTCGATAGAGAATCAATGCTCTTTGAGAAAAAGAAATGTTGAATATCAAAGAATGCAAGAATAATCTATAAATCTACCTCTGTCCACTCAAAGGTGTTGAAGAATAAGAAAAATAACTAAACACCCGCACCCACCCACACATGTATATATGTAGAAGAGAATGCAAACGAATGCAAAAAAAGAATTATTGCAACTCAAAAGTAGAAATGACACACCATCAGGAGGCTGAGCTAGTTTCCGGTTCTGTGGAGACAACATTTCTTTCTTCAATTGCATTAATATATCCTCCATTGTGCACTCCCTTTGCCAGTCAGAAAGCATAGGAAAAAGACTAGGTTCGACCTGATAATTTGGCCATCCATAAGCTCTGTTTTTTAGCATGTCATGGATATGATGTCTTCAATTAATAGCATCACTTACCAATCCGGTATCCTGATTTACACACGTCATGTTTATCTGAGTTTGGAACCTCACAGTTGGTGGCTTATCTGGATACTCTTTACCACAGAATAATTTCAACTGGTAGATGCGCCCTTCATGCACCGTCTGGCAAATAGCATCAATCAACAGTAAAACATCAATGTTACTCTTTCAGCAAATGGTATTGTACCAGACATTTAAACAATCATCAATGCCATAATCAAGCTTTTGAATTCAAAAATAAGAAAAGAAAAGAAAAGAAAAATGAAGGGTAAATTACATTGGTAGTCCCTGTATTTTGCCATTGTGTTATTTCGATCCCTGTAATTTCAATTAGCTTGATTTTGACCCTTAATTTTAGATTGTGTCAATTTAGTCCAGTTGATAATGTCGATTAGGGTTTTTGAAGAAAAATGGTCACTGCGTTGGTTAAGGTTAACTTACTAAGTCGAACAAATTTACAATTTTGCCTATAAACCAAAGGAAGAAAAAAGAACCCCCTACACAAATATACGACATCTCTTTTCTTCCTCTACTCATGTAATCTTCCCATTAAACTGAGTTTCAAAGCATTGGGATGTCGTATATTTTCACTGGGAATGCGTAACTTGATAACATCTTCAATCATTTTTATTTAAAATCATCAATGTTATTGATGTTTGTATCCAAGTCAATGGACTCACTTTCTATACAAGTAAAAAGAAATTAAAATAAATAATAAAAAAACAAGTTAACATTCATACATTCTTTTTTCTTTTTTTTTGTTAACATGTTTTTTATTATTTATTTTAATTCCTTATACTTGGATAGAAGGTGAGCTCAATGACTTGGAAAAAAAGAATCAATAAGCATATTTGTCACTTCAAAAAAAATCACATTGTCTGACAATGTACTCTATATATATGTATATATATCTTTTATTGATATTTTGTAAGTGTGTAGCTATTTTCTTATTTCATTCTTTTTTCATTGATTGTTATTTTGTGTTTAAAAATGTCTTATTGTTTTATTCAACTTAGCACGTTTCTATTTTTTTTTTTCTTCAAAATTTAGGATTATGCTAAAAAATGTCTTACCGTTCAAAGATTAATGAATTGAGCATGGAATGGCATTGGCAAATGTCTAGTTGGTGGATAGGTGCTTTATCAACCTGAATATTCAAAGTTAAATGAAATTTAACACCTATATTACATGGACTCATATGAGTGTTGAGTGTTGGATACATGCGTATCTAACGGTTGGACTTGTCTAACCTCTAAACGAGAGATACAGGGATTTGTCTAAAAAGTATAAAAAAATTAGATATATGTACATGGATATACCCAAAAATAGATGTCAAAAAAAATTCAAATTAGCAATATGCTATAAAATTGAAAGGTTTTAAACAAAATTATGATATATATAATTTATGATAAAAACAAAAAACTATAAAATTACAAATTTACTAAACATTGAAGTATGGTACTTGACGTCATACTTCATAATTACAACGCCACAAATTGCAGTGGTATGAGCATTGAAACTATTTCTAGACAAATGAATAACAATCAAGATTTGACAATATATTTTAACGAGTTGCTATTATTTTTCTTCCTTTGTTAAAAAAGACTTCTAATAGAATTGATGAAAGCGGCTAACTTGTGGCTTGTAGCTATAATAGAATTGATAAAGGTTGTTGAGTAGTGGCTAATAGTTCGATGATGAGATTAATGGCTGGTAGCTGAAAAATATATGCTAATAACTTGTAGAATGATATCTACAAATTCAATAATGAAATTATAATTAACTATCCTCGAAATGCATAAAAATTTTGCCCTCTTCATATTAAAAAATAGAAAGTGAAAATCTTAAAGCCTCTTTTGGTTTGTGTGACGCAATAGCGATTCCTAGATTCCTTCCTTTTCTTCTTTATTTTTTCTGTAAAATCTGCAAATTTACTGTTCATGGGCACTGTTCATAGCCCTTAGGTTAGGACAGCTCCTAAACAGTGCCAAAAATCCTATCTTTTCTTGCTTAAACTCTTACCCTTTATTACCCCATATAAACCCTTAAAACCCCTATTTTCTTATTGCAATTTCAGCCATAAAACCCAATTAAAATCAGCCCCAAAAGCCCACTTTTGCTGCTGTCCCTACTTGTGCTGCATCATTGGGTACAAACCTAACCTTAACCATAATTTGCACCAAGTGGCTGCCCTCATAATTGAACCCACAATCTAAAGGTTAATAGGTCAAGTTTTAACACCACCAAATAGCTTATCGGGTTTCAACAACACTAATATCTTATCGAGTTCGTTTTGGTTTTGCTTTGGGCAATGTATTGAATATGTTTTCAAAAGAGTACATGTGTCTACTAGGTTTTGCCATGTGAAGGTTTCTCTTGGATTTTGTTTTGATATTTGTAACTGAATGTAAGGGCAACTTGACCCTATGGTGAGTCACAAAAACCTCTCCATAAATGGCGATAATATAAGATAGCATACATCTTGCCCTTTCCAAACCCTACTTTAGTGGGAGCCTCATCACTGGGTCAACATTTTTTATTTGCAACTAAATCCGCCAACAAATTTGGGATCCAGATTTTCAAGACTCTTTTAGCTGCACACGCACACAGATGTTTATATATGTACTTCTTCAAGTAACTCTGCTTCTTTGTTTCTCTAATTAATCTATAGGTGAAGTGCACAAAAAAAGTATTCAAGTTTTATTACTCTAGATTTTGTCTATTTTATTTGTTTAATGCAAATAAATTTCCAAATTCTCCTTTGGATGATGAATTTCTTATCATTTTTCTTCTCTCCTCTCTATTCTTCTCCAACTCTCTCTCCCACTCACGGTTGTAGACAGACAACTTACATTGTACATCCAGGTTAAAACGAAACTTATCTTGAGAAAAACTAAACTAATGTTGTTGGGTATGCCATATAAGCCAAAAAGGTCCAAATTTCAAGACTCACAACAAGGCCCTAATTATGAGTTGTACACATGTACTGAACTTTTTAACCATTCCAGTTCATCTCGATTCAAGCAAATGATCTAAAAACTTCGTCCTTAGGTCACACTACTCATCACAAAGTGTAAGATTTAAATTTTCAACTAACTACTATTCCTAGGGTCCTAGACTTTTAAATAAATAAGTGCCCGAGGACAAGTAACCATAATACCAAAGCACAAGATGGGCATGAGACCCATCACAAAAAATCCCCCACAAACATATCAGAAGCAAATCAGCATTGAAGGCAATGCGGTTAAAATTGTAAACTACAAATATGCAGTTTATAGCATATAAATTGAAAAACTGCAAAAGAAAACATACATTGGGAGGGCCAATGATAGTCCCAGTCCATGACTGCATATATACATCATCACCATCATCCATTCCATAGCTGACTGTTCCATCTCCAATTCCCTTTTCTCCTCTCTCAAGCTCTTCCAGTAATCTAAAATTCCTAGGAACTGAAATTAACAATTTTCAGGTAGATGCCTCAAACTAGATATACAAGTGAGCATTCTGGGAAATTCTAGTGTGATAATTCTAGGAAATAGTAGGCATTTGCAGACGAAGATTGACAAAACTGATTGATAGATCTGTAACTTGACAAGAAACCACAAACAGATTCAATTGCATACGATCAATCTCAAGGATACATGAAATTTTAAAACATGGCCTCGTTTGGGAACTTGGCTATTTTAATTGGCTTTTTGGTTATTTTATGAGATGGAAAAAAGTTGTTTTTGGAATGATTTGTGAATTTTTTTGTAGTTGAATAGATGGCTGTGAGAGAAAAAGTGACATTGTCTTATTGGCTATTTTAGCCCCTTTTTTTGTGGTCTTTATTGGCTATTTTAGCCAAAAAAAACTATTCCCAAACATGGCCAAAATCACTCGTATTAAATATAAGATCAATTGACAAAAATAAGAGCATTGACTATATGCTAATCACATGGTTTCCAATTTTTAATTCACTTTAGTAGGCATCAGAATACCTTCGACTGGTTGTACAACCAGTAAGAAGTGGACCCCACAACCTCAGGGGCCTTGCACAGACATGTTCATTTGCATACAATCAATCTCAATGATACACCAAATTTTGAAACAAAATCACAAGTATTAAATATAAAATCCATTGTCAAAAGAAAACAGCATTAACTATATGCTAATTACATTGTTTACAATTCCAATTTCTCTTTTGTAGGCATCAAAATACCTTCGACTGGTTGTGTTCAATTAATATTATGTTTCCAAAACTAGTAGAGCCCTTTTCGTTGAGGCAGCTGCAACCTTAAGGGAAAAGAAATCCCCAAGAAAGGACTACATTAGCATGCTCACAGCATTATTTTAAGCCAAACAACTTTGAAAAAATTTACATTATTGTTGTTAATGAATACATCACTATACTCTTCAAATGTACATTAGCTCCATTAGGTAAATACTAAGGCAAAAAACCTCTATAGATCTAGCAGTCTGCCACCCAAAAAAAACAAATACCTACTATACAGCATTAAAAGACTAGAATGTTGACCGAACACACATCCAAACACATGTTTATTGGTCCTGCAAATAAAGCCTCATCAAATGTAGGATAGCAATGTACATACTTTTCACCAAAAAAAAAATGACCTCACTGAATTTTATGAATTCAAGAAAGCATAATATGAAGAGAGAAAAAAAATAAAAATAAAAATATAGAAGTTTGGCCTTTCCCTTCTTCCTTCTATCCCAATTTTTACCTTGCTCACCAACCCAATTCTTTCAAAGCTTTTCCTATACATGCAGACCACTATCCGAAGGTAAGGATATAAAACAAAGAAATATAAGGTTTCCATCACACTAAATTCACTTTTTATCATGTACATAGCTTTTTCCAGAAAATGCCAAAAGATATTGTGGTGTTTGCAAACATGGCGGTACACATAGATGTTGCTCAGAACTAAAGATGGTAGAAATGGGATGGTTGGTTGGGTGGGTGGGTAAGTGTTGGGAAATAAAAAACTATAAGAAATGTTTTGCCCTGAATTTTACAAATTTTGTATTCCAAATTAAATTTGGACACATTGCTAATTTTTTCATGAACATGTAGGTGCCTCATTTAATCCTGCTCCTTCCTTCTATTCTTTAAAATTGTATTCTTTTTATTTTTATGAGTCGATGGAGGGTAGTTTGAGAAAGGAGTTCTGTAAGCGCTATCTGCTTTAGATGGGATGCCCCTTGGTGTATTGGTGGGTGACTTTAATGTGGTGCACTTTCCGAAGGAAATGTTAGGTTGCATGGTGCTTAGTAGAGCCACGACAGAGTTCTCTTATTTATTTAGTGGGCTTGAGTTAGTAGATATACAGTTGGTGTAACTCATTAGAATTAGCATCAATGTCTTGTTTTGATAGATTCTTAGTTTCAGTAGCATAGGAGGAGGCATTTTTAAGACAACTCAATTTCACTTACCAAAGCCAGTATCAGATCATGTCCTTATCATGTTGGATAGCAAGGACGGAGTCCATTTAGATTCAAGATATGTGGTTGCAAGCTGAAGGGTTTAAGGAGAAAATTAGTGGATGGCGATGAAATTATATAGTAAAGGTATGCTGAGCTTTGTGCTAGCAAATAAATTGGAGATGGTGAAGGAAGATTTAAGGATGTAGAACAAAGAAGAGTTCGGGAAGTTGGAGGTACAAAAGCAAAAGTCTTGGGGAAGTTTCACTAGTTTGATGAGTTAGACTGTATGAGAACTCTTTCAAATGTCGAAAAAGAAACACGAGAGAGGGCGAAGGAGGAGTTCTAAAGGACAAGTGATTGAGGTGGTAAGTGGAGGCGCCATCTCTAATTATTCTATATAGGGAAAATCCCTTATTACATGAAATTCTCCATTTTTTTAAGCCTCGCAAACAACATAAAATTCAATAATGTTTTACAAAACATGTTTTAGGTGTCACAATGTTCATTAAAAACCATTACAAACATTCAAATTGTGATAAATAAGGTTAGACCGTGCTTATCAAAGACTTTCTTGGCATTTTATGGTGCTTTAAAAAAAAAAACACACAACTACGATTTTTAGATTCCCATTACACATTGGCTCATACTCCTGATAGCTGTTACACACAACCACGACCTTTACACATATTAAAAAACCACTCAATTAAAAGTATTGAATAGACTCACAAATATATGATGACATGTCTTGCAATTGCACAAGCGTCATTAAACTCCTAACATCCTAAAATTGAGTTTATATTAATTGAAGTGTCTTTTTTGTTTACCGTCTTTTCTTTTGAAGAAAAAAAATCCACAACCTTCAAATAAAATAAACATCTGAATGGCTGAAAACGTGAATTCCGAGAGAGAGAGAGAGAGAGAGTTTTAGAGAAAAAAAAGAGAGAAAAGAAAAGAAAAGAAAAAGTGTAAGACATATTAACCCAATTTGACATCCCACCTAAGCAACCCTAATTCTTGAAAACCCATGTATCTATGAAAGGAAAAAAAAAAAAGAACAAAATAAAAATCACAAACAAGTTGCAGAATCAATGCAATATAAAACTTTGAGAAACACAAATGCACAGAATTGAACCCAAATTAAAGCTAAAATCTGCAAGAAAGTTAATGTTTTGAGGCTTACCAACAACCCTTGATCCCTCTGAGCCCATTTCTTGCTGCATTTGGAAGCAGAGCTAGGGTTTCTCTATGGCTAGAGAGAGAATTTGAGAGAGAGATTGAAGAGGAAGAAGTGCTAGCTGATGAAGACTGCACTATTTTTACCCATTTTTACCTTTTGTAATACTTGGTTAGGATTATTTTAATATTATTTATGAGATGAAAAAGAGTCAACATGAAGTTTTCATGCTTGGCAGGTGGGTAAAAATGGTACGTGGGCTGCTGGAAATCCATTCGTGGTTTGATGTGGGTCTGGCCAGTTTAGGCCTAAGTTTGAGTTTAGCTTGAGACTCTTAAGTCAGGACCTAAGTTATCCGTAGCCCCGCCCATCAGCCCTTTAACCCATTCAAGATTCGATCCGCTCGAGATTTAATGCCTTTTTAAATAAAAAAATAATAAAATTTTGATAAAAAAAATTAAAAGAATTTGTTCAGCCCCGTCCAAGGCCGAGCCTAGGCCCAAGTCCAGGTCCACCAATCTACTGAAGGCCCAAATATCTCATCAGCATACGCATAATTTTTTAACTGACAAACCGATCAGACTCAATTTAAATTTTAATACGAATCCGCAAAACCTGACATGACCGGCCAAGGCCCAAATAAGCTGACCCTGGCCAAATTTACACCTCCACTCACTGCACTACCGATCAACACATTAACCGCCATTCGTCCATTTTTTTATTTTTATTTTTTTAATTTTTTATGGCTGATGATGGCCACTAACCAGCAGTTTGTCCATTTGCTATCACCTATAATTTAAAATACTTAAATAAAAGATAAATTAATTAAAAATTTTAAAAATTATGAATTAATTCTTGTAACAAGATAATTTTTAATTTTTTCAATATATTTCAATTTATTTTTAATTTGTACCATTTATCTATTTTTATTAAATAAAATTAATTTAAAAAATACTTTAAACAATACTCAATATAAATGTACGAAAAATGTCTTAAATAACAAAACATTAATAATTAATAACAAAATAAAATAAAATAAATATAACATCTTTTTATATTTGAAGTATTCTCTTCAAAGTCTCCTACTAGAAAAAATTTGGGCCTTGGAAGATTTTAGAATCTCCTACTGTAAATTCTCTTCAAAAGAGGGCATTCATCAATTTTGTGCCGCCCCATACCTCTCCATAGTGCATTGTGTGATGATATATAGATTAAAAATTTCTAAATAATGAAAGTACAAGATGATGAATGAGCTATCAAAATTAATTGAATCTATTAATAACTCCTAAACGATAAGATTTACTTGTATTTGGATATAAATAAATAAAAATAAATGAGTGCATTCAATACATTGGAGCTCTTTGAGCGACTCCTTTTCTAACTTTTTGCCTCTTAGGTGATGATTGTGTTACAATTTCTTCATCGCTTCTTTTGCTACCCAAGTCTTCATCTTTTTCATTGTCATGATCAGACGCACCTCTACTGATAGAGAAAACCTGTTAACAAGAATAATATGATGGTGTGTAATGTTGTGGCAAAGTTGAAACAAATAGGCTTAATAGTTGTTGATTGTTTTTTGATAATTAAAAAGAAAGACAAAGAACAAAAACTAAACCCTCAAGGGTTGGCCTAGTGGTAAAGGTTTGGGACTTAGAAGGTTCAAAATCTCTTAGGTGCTATCAACTCTTATGTTGAGCCAGTCCATACAGAGTTCTGCTCCTCGCTAGTAGATGGTAGAATTGGTCCCCCAGAGATTACTCGAGGTACGCGCAAACTGGTCCGGACACCTTAAGTTATCAAAAAACACAAAAACTAACCTTGCATGCAATGCTGCAATAGAGGGAAGTGCTGTCTTGCAAACTCCTTTGACAGATGATGCAACTATGATCTTTTGAATTCTGTTGTTGACTTTGTTGTTGTTGTAGTGGTTGTTGATGCCTTTGCTTCAAGAATAGCACTTTAGTTTTATTTGTATGATATGCCTGTGTAAACATTGAACAAGGTGAAATAAATGAACAAGTAAAATAAGTATAATTAATTAATTAGGAAGCTATACCATCTGACAATAATATTATTTCCCTCTTCACGCTTTATAAAATGTATATTGCAATTAATATTAGATCGGTTGCAACTTTAAATGTTCAAAGTCAATCTACAAAAAAGACTTCACGTAAATGATTTGCTTTCTACAAATCATCCAAGGCCAAAATTGCAAAATAATTTTAGACAAAATGTTGTAAAAATAGAAAAAGGTACAGAAATTGTGTCTTATACTTTAATATACTTCCATTCTTGAGATTTATAAAATATATATAAATTCTCCCCTCATGTTTGATAAATTATAGCTCACCCCTTGAGATTTCCAATCATATAACAAATGGCCTACTCCGTTAATCAATATTTAAGTCAAACTAATAGAGTGAGATTTCTAATCATATAACAAATGGCTTACTCCGTTAATCAACCTTTAAGTCAAACTAATAGAGTGTATGACATAAGTATAAAGAATAAAAATCAAAAATACCTATATTAACATTTATAAAGTTGAACACTTTAGTTATTATTTTTCTTTTTCCTATCTCACCTTCTGTATTCCGTATTTTCTCTCAATTAAAGTGACACACCACTTTACTCGCAATCCTCTCTCACTCTTGATTAATATTACTGTTATTATTGTCTACAATCATTAATGTGTTGTTGAGAAAGATTAGATAATATTGTACTGGTATAGAAAGAGAGAAAATAAGAGTAATATTATAATTTCAATTGGTATTAGAGGATATTTGAGTGATTTTACTTCAAAAAAAAAAAAAATTCTACCAATGAGATATTTGTAATTTTTAAAATGTAAATAAAGAATGCATATTTTTAACAAATCTATTGAACTGTATTTATAGTTAACTTTTACACAATTAAATGTAAAGCTTTGAATCTTCACAAAACACTATCGATTCACTACCACACCTCAATCAATCATGGAAAGGTTAAACAAATCCCATTTTACTTAGCAAAAATCAAATTAGCAATGGCCAGCTAAACCCATAATTTTAACGCCATGATTTATTATTATGTAAGGGTCCAAATGGTCCAAAACAATCAAATTAGCAATGCTTAGCTAAACCAATAATTTTAACTCCATGATTTATTATTATAAAATGGTCCAAATGGTGCTTCCAATATGCATATATGCATATAATTTTTGATTTTTGGGGTCAAAATAAACAAAGTGAAGAAGCAAAACTCATCATCTACCTGTATGCCCGAACAATTGAATAGCTTGCATAAATCTTTGCGATTGATCACTTCACAATATACGTATCTCCGAATCTTCAACATAATACGATGCATAAGATCTTCATTAGTCCATAAAACACTATAGTTGTTTCCCAATTTAAAATTCTAAATTTATACACACACACACACACACACACACACACACACACACACACACACACACACACACACACACACACACACACACACACACACACACACACACACACACACACACACACACACACACACACACACACACACACACACACACACACACACACACACACACACACACACACACACACACACACACACACACACACACACACACACACACACACACACACACACACACACACACACACACACACACACACACACACACACACACACACACACACACACACACACACACACACACACACACACACACACACACACACACACACACACACACACACACACACACACACACACACACACACACACACACACACACACACACACACACACACACACACACACACACACACACACACACACACACACACACACACACACACACACACACACACACACACACACACACACACACACACACACACACACACACACACACACACACACACACACACACACACACACACACACACACACACACACACACACACACACACACACACACACACACACACACACACACACACACACACACACACACACACACACACACACACACACACACACACACACACACACACACACACACACACACACACACACACACACACACACACACACACACACACACACACACACACACACACACACACACACACACACACACACACACACACACACACACACACACACACACACACACACACACACACACACACACACACACACACACACACACACACACACACACACACACACACACACACACACACACACACACACACACACACACACACACACACACACACACACACACACACACACACACACACACACACACACACACACACACACACACACACACACACACACACACACACACACACACACACACACACACACACACACACACACACACACACACACACACACACACACACACACACACACACACACACACACACACACACACACACACACACACACACACACACACACACACACACACACACACACACACACACACACACACACACACACACACACACACACACACACACACACACACACACACACACACACACACACACACACACACACACACACACACACACACACACACACACACACACACACACACACACACACACACACACACACACACACACACACACACACACACACACACACACACACACACACACACACACACACACACACACACACACACACACACACACACACACACACACACACACACACACACACACACACACACACACACACACACACACACACACACACACACACACACACACACACACACACACACACACACACACACACACACACACACACACACACACACACACACACACACACACACACACACACACACACACACACACACACACACACACACACACACACACACACACACACACACACACACACACACACACACACACACACACACACACACACACACACACACACACACACACACACACACACACACACACACACACACACACACACACACACACACACACACACACACACACACACACACACACACACACACACACACACACACACACACACACACACACACACACACACACACACACACACACACACACACACACACACACACACACACACACACACACACACACACACACACACACACACACACACACACACACACACACACAC